TGACCACAAATGCAAAGAAAACGTTCCGAAGAGTACAAAGTATTTAGTTATGATTTTGGCGGTAAAAAGAAAGCTCTGAGCGATATGCTTGCTTTGCGGTTCATCTTCAAGTATAGCAAACACCGGGAAGCCGGCTTAAATCTGCAAGGTTTTTGAAGTTTATGAGCTTATGCTTACCTGACTCTTGATTTTCAGAGACACTTTACTCTCAAAACTTATCTTCGTGAATGAAAATTGTTGTCTCTGAACATGTTTCACCGAGTTTTATGTATTTTACTAATTGTTAGTAGTCTCTTTCTCAATTTAATCGCTGCGCAGGTTGTTTTCAGTCAAACATATAACAAAACATCGCATGCAAGTGTACTCAAAATGCCGCGCGTAAATATCAAACGCTTTTTCCTTGACGTCCTGACTCCAGCATCGCGTATACACAACCATAATACAAGATTTGTCAGTAATCTGAACTATTTTAGGCCAAGAGTATCCACCAACTTAGGTAAGACGTCTTTTAAATTCTCCGCTCCAAAACTCTGGGAGACTGTACCGCCTGGTCTCAAGTGTCTGCCATATCATAAGTTTAAGAAAGAATGGAAGTCCTGTCTTCTAACCAACCAAATCTGACCTTGCTCATATGTTTTATCACTGATATTATTTGAGATTTTATTCCTCTCCTTACTACTGCCAATTATTTCAATATGACGGTGTCCAACAAGAAAGCTCTTGCTACTTCGGACACCGTACACAAATGAACTTAATATCTTTTAGTTAATTATTATTATTTGTAGCTACTTTATTTTCCTACTATGTACACTTATGTAAATATCTTGTATAGTGTGAATAAAGAATTGAATTGAATTGAATTAAAGATAACTATAAACAAAATCATAAATAAGGGGAAATAAAACCTAAACAAAATAAGTTCTCTATCATGTTGAAGCCTAACTCTATTAATGTTCATTCAAACGGCTCCGACAGTTTGAACTGCAAATTTGGTGCTAGACAAATGGGACAACCGGTCCGGCTGGCCATATAGGTGATTTTGGGAATTTTTTTATCGTTTTCACTAATTAATAATTAGTCGCCTCAGGCGACGTGAATATCGGCGAATAGTCACCGAGACGACTCTGGTTTACACACCACCAGATTTGTCGCCAAGATTTACTTGTAAAGTAAACCTGGAGAACACAAATCTTTTCCGAAACACAAAAAGACCGGCCTGATTTCTTTTTATTTTAGCCTTCCTTTTAGACAGAGAAATGCAACGTGTAAATTGGCTGCAACCGAGAACTATTTACTCGATGTAAAATTTATTCACTCTTGGACTGTCAAATTATTTTTCTCTAAGAAATTACTTTCCCTCAAAAGTCTTTTGAATGTACCTTAAAGTTAACTGATTAATGTTTATTGTTTTATTTGTATGTGTAATCAAATGGTGACGAGTGAAATTAGGGAATAATTTCCCGCGCGTTTTGTCCAAATCCTTATAATTTCCCGAGCCTTTAGGCGAGGGAAATTATTAGGATTTGGGCAAAACGTAAGTGAAGTTATTCCCTAATTTCACGAGTATACCATCTGATTACCTATTAATATCATGGGTGACGAATTACCTGAGCAATCGAGGATTTTTGACTTGTTTATCCTGGATCGTATCGATCGATCGTGAACTCCACTCTCTCAAACGTTTAGAGCTGAAATTTGGCTTAAGTTTTCGGAATTTTTCGACTACATACCTCTAAGAATCCTTCTTGATGTGCTCTTTCGTGTGTTCAGGTTTTCTAAAGCGTCTTCTTATGCCCTGACATCTTCATTCACGACATTTTAAAACTTCGTCGCCATCTTGAAACGGAGACGTACGGCAGGTTGCCATGGCAATTTTGTAATTTCACATATGAAATTACAAATTAACGCTGAAATTTCGCGCCAAAATTAAGGAGTAATTCGTCACCTATGATATTAAACATATCATTTATTCTTATCACGTTTACATCCAAAAAATACTACGTAAAAATTGGCGCAATTAAACAATAATTGCTTCTTTAACTTTACTGAGAAAACTAAGCTGCTCGGTCCACACGGATCGGAATACTTTTTAAAACGAATTTTTTTTTCCCTGTCTTCAACAAGGAAAACGCGTCCACACAAACCCTATATATCTGAATCTTTTTCTCCCGTCCACATGAATTACGGATTTACGATAACGTCCCTTTAAGAGTATGCTTAATGCTAGTAGTATTACGATGTATGACACCTCCAAAGCTAGAGTGAAAAACCGAGAAGCCGATTGGTTTTCAAAAATCTCCTCTCTGGGGATCAAAAAATAAAACCCTGTGTTTCTGGTTCCCGAAAACGCAGTTTACGTGTGGACAGAAGGGTAATTGAGACGAATCAAAAACCTCCGTTTTCAAAAACATCCAAAAAATAACGTGTGGATGGTGCCAAAAAAGGTCCTTTCTCACCGTACCTGTGCATGGGTTACCACTCTCTGGACGGCCTTCATATCCGTTGAAACATTTACAATCAAATAAACTCACGCTTCCAGTGAGACTATGGCCCGAGTTTGCTGGGCAGGGTTGGCAGTAAAATGTAGAGCCATCGTTGTATGTATTATGGGGACATTCTGCAGTTTCACAGAAAAGGAATGCAAATAATAAAAATTGATAGGAGACATCTCAAGCTCTAAGAAAATCTGCGTGATCTCGTAACCAGATCTCTTGCCGAGTTTGGCTTCGTCGACAAGAGATCTGGTTACCAGATTACGTCCGCTTAGAGGGCGACCTTCAGAGTTTGGGTATCCCTTGCCTTGTCTTTTTCCACTGGATGTACAAAATGAAATACAGCTGCTAGCAAGATTCTTAAGTTACTCGTGGCTAGTTTGTTTATTGGTTTTTTGGTTGACAAATGCGCCGCTTGTCAAAGTCATCGGAAATCCGATTTCGGATGGATCGCTTTTTCTCATTTCTCCTTGCTTAATGCGTATTATAAAGAGGGTTCAAAAAAGTCTCAAGCCATTCTGATGGCCTTCAGGAGTTGCATCTTAACTGGTAAGCCTGAGTTTGGGCATCCCTTGTCTCTTCTTTTGTTGACCTTTGAATTTTAACCAATTATTCCATACGGAAAAGGCCTAAAATATCTCTGTCAGTTATGCTACTTATGTTTTTTTCCATACCTGTTTTCCATCCATTTCATTGTTAAAGTAAAGAGCCAGATGAACTGCCCCAATTTATAGCGAAATTCTTTGTATCGCGCTGTGCGTTTTGCAAACTTCGAAGGATTTTTGAGATTTTCTGTCCGTTAATCATCTTAGCGGACCTCTTAGGGAACACATGTTTACTTGCACGAGTTCAAAAGGTCATGGTTTGTGATTCGTGATTGGTGGATTTAGATCCGTTTTGTTTGGTTCGTTGCTTTGTGATCGTCCTGTTTCGGGCAATAATCGTCCAGTTTTAAAGTTTGCTTCGCAGATTTTTCTCATATTTCTTATTCTAGTCACTTGCAAGAATAAAGCAACGTCTGCCTCCTTCCCTTCGAAAAAGAAATCCACTCACCATCGCGATTTCCTTCGATATTCTCGAGCAGGCTAGAGTCATTCTCAGCCAAGCTCGGCGAGCACGTTACATAGTGATTTTAATTACCCCACCTTCACTAAAATGATTGACGTAACGGAAAAACCAAAAATCCCTTGTAAGTTTGCAATACGCGCAGCGCAATACAACGAATTTCGCTGTAATCTGTTTTGTTTTGTGTTTTGTTTTCTTCAGCACTCACTCAGCGAGCAGAGTAAGGGATTCTTCTGTTGAAAACTCCGACCTGCTGCCCTGACCCAGGTTCCTGGAAAGCCAATTAAACTACCCGGCCGATTAGCGTCAAATCCACGATTAAATTTCTTATTCCTCGGATAACTAATCGTGGGTTAAAAAGGAGTCCTTGAAAGCGAAATAAACTTACGATTAACTAATCCGAGATTAGTGCTAAAATAAACCGGTTTAACTAGTTTTTCGGATAATTGCTTTTAAAAAATATGGCGCGAAAAATGTTTAGGCACGGGTGAAGTAAAGGGAAAATGGCGGAATATGAAGTGGTCGAGGTTGAACCAAAGAAGGAGAAGAGAATTCTTCATCTACCTAGAAGTAATTGGCCCAGTTTTTATCACATAGTCCGGCTTATATTCAATCCACAGTCAGTAGTCCATGTTTTATACTGACCGAATATATTACATGAAGCAGTAAACACAGTCACAACAGCTTATGTCAGTTTCTCCTCGTCTATCTCTCGAGGTCGTTTTTGAGGATTTCTACCAAATACTTTATTGTCTCTCGGCCAAAACCGTATCTACTGCGAAGCTCTTTGTCAGTAAATTGGTCGACTGAGATCAATTTCTTGCTGTCGGAACTTTTCTTCTTTTTGTTTTTACAAGCGAGTTAGTCGTTAGTTAGTGAGTTAGTCGACCTCGCTAGGTGGTTAAATTCAACACGTAGATTATTCCTAGTTTAAGGTTAATCGCGCTTTCAGGAACAGAATCTAATCGTTGGATAAAATTTATGCCGCAATTAGCGAGATTTAATCCTCTATTAGCGCTAATCGGCTTTCCTGGAAGCCGGGCCTGTATTAGGGCCTGTTTACATAGGGGTGAGGGACCCCAGGTAGTTGAGGTAACCCGCCTGTCCATATAATCTCTCATTTTGACTTGATCACGTTTATATGATAGGTGGGGTGACTGTATAAGAGATTATATGGACAGGCGGGTTACCTAACTTAAGCAGGTTACTTCACCTGCCTGTGGTCCCCAGGCTCCATTACAAGAGGCGCTTGGTTTAATAGGAACTGTTCCCTTTGGACTTACCATTACATTGACCCACTGTTCCTGACCCTCCATATCCTTTTGGGCACAAGCACTGGTAAGTCGCGTACGTTAAACGACAAGCACAAATTGCCATTGGGTCGCAATTGTTGTTGCATTTACTAGGATCTATATGTCTGGTTTGCGTTGTTGTATCAAACGTTTCTTGTAAGAAATAAAACAAAATAAGTTATGATTATAGCTAGTCACTCTCTTATTGTGTTACAGTCTGTGGACAGTTAATAATTGATCGCCGTAATGATAATGCAACTTTGTACTTTGATAAATATCACACGAGGAGCCGCAAGGAGTAAAATTTCTGTCCCGTAATTTAATCAGTTAAATCATCAAAGTTGACAGGTCTTTCTGATGATCAAAGCGACCGTTCGGTTTACCATTTACACCTTCAGTGCGAAGACTGTCACGGGAACATTAACACCTTCAGGATAATTGCTTGCCATAACAGTGGTAGGTCGCGCGCGTCTGGTCGGTTTCGAAGAACGTGATCGTGACTGTTGTTTTCATTCAGTGACTGTACGCGTTGATATGCCAACGTTTAAAACAGACTGCAACATTAAATTTTTGTTATAAAAGCAAAGAAGCTGCCGAGTAGAAACTAAACCGTTCCAGACTTATTCCGTTTCATTCGTGTACTTTCATTTTGATGGGGTCTGTATGATGAATTTACTTCTGCCTTCTAATCCGGCACGTAAACAACATAGAGATAAAACATTCATTTTGCCTTTGTGGAGTAAATTCATCTTAAAAAAGTTAAACTAGTGGACCACTTTCTCCGCATACTTGTAAAAATAGGCATTTAATATGTCGCGCTACAGTGCGAAAATCTTCTTGTCGTGGATTAGATTTCAGTATACCTATTGTTAATCTTCATTTCGCGCCAGAATAAATTAGTTTGCGCGCAAAGGGCGTCTAAAAAAATTCACAAGGTTTGTCTCACTTCGAGTCCACCTTCTGGAGATACGCCGGCATGGTAGCTGGAATACATTGCCAAGGCGAAGATCTGGCATTTTTCCTCCTCGTCGTTTTTTTCCCCGCAACGTTTGTTTATATTTGTAGTGAGAATGCCGTGCATATCGGTGGATTTTACTTCAGTCAAGCGGCTTCAGTTCCTGCGGCTTGCTACTCATCATAAAGAAGAGTGCCGGAATCGCTTTGTTCGCCTTTAACAGATTTGTTGTCGAATGCAAGGTAAAAGAACGGACTACTGTAAGGTAAGAATTGAAGTTTAAATTTGTTTCTCGGCGAAAAATAGTGCATACAACTCGTGAAACCCGTGAGTATTACCTCTGTTTAATATACCGGATGTCATGCGATGACCCCTCGCTTTTACAATGGATAAGACGGATACGAACAATAATTTCTTTCGCAACGTTTAGTATAATTTATTTAATATGAAGATCATCTGAGAACGATTTTTCGTTATATATGCTTCATTTCTTGGCTTATTCCGGCTACGTGCGAAAAATTAGATGACAATGTTTGTGTGCTATAATTATACTGATAATTTCTTGCACCTTGAAACTCATGAAAGCCAAACTTGTTTAACCCTAGCAAAAAACTCTTTTAATGGAGGAACTCAACCTGATAGTTGCACTAAAATCTAATAATTGTCACTGCATTTGCAGGCTCTCTGTAACCTCGTGGGTAGAACATACCTGAAGGTTACGTTAATAATAATCACTGCATTTGCTCTCTGTAACCTCGTGGGTAGAACATACCTGAAGGTTACGATAATAATAATCTTTGCATTTTCTCTTTGTAACCTCGTGGGTAGAATATACCTGACGGTTACATTTAATAATAATCACTGCATTTGCTCTCTGTAACCTCGTGGGTAGAACATACCTGAAGGTTACGTAAATAATAATCATTGCACTTTCTCTTTGTAACCTCGTGGGTAGAACATACCTGATGGTTACATTAATAATATCACTGCATTTGCTCTCCGTAACCTCGTGGGTAGAATATACCTGACGGTTACATTTAATAATAATCACTGCATTTTCTCTCTGTAACCTCGTGGGTAGAACATACCTGAAGGTTACGTTAATAATAATCATTGCATTTTCTCTTTGTAACCTCGTGGGTAGAATATACCTGACGGTTACATTTAATAATAATCACTACATTTGCTCTCTGTAACCTCGTGGGTAGAACATACCTGAAGGTTACGTTAATAACAATCATTGCATTTCTCTTTGTAACCTCGTGGGTAGAATATACCCGATGGCTACATTAATAATAATCACTGCATTTGCTGTCCGTAAACTCGTGGGTAGAGTATACCTGATGGTTACATTAATAATAATCATTGCATTTTCTCTTTGTAACCTCGTGGGAAAAAAAATTAATGCCTCTCTCCTGGAAATTTTGCCCTGTCCTTTCAGCATAGTGATCTTTGGGTAGCGAATTCACGTAAACAAGTAAAACGCTTTTTTTAACAACAGCATTTATATTACTTGGCTTTTTGAGGGAGGTTAAACATTTATGGAATAGAATATAAAAAAAGCTCATAAAGCGGAAAAAGTTATCTTTACAAAATGCGCTTTGACAATGTCAAGGAGTGAAATAAGCTGAGGTTTTGTAGTTAGCCCGAAGAAAACCTGTTCCTGCATGAAAAGCAGCTCTGATTCCCTTCTCTTAACTAGAAGAGATGCATATCCCTGTGAACCAGTTTTTTAACCAGGAGCGATTCCCGCTCACTTCTGATACTTTATTGACACGAGTTCCTATTTCAATATATGTCTAATTCAAGCTTAGCCGCGTGATAGCTCTTCATTAGCGAAAAGGTCCAAGTGATATTTTGATTGACGTGTTGTTTTGGATCCTGAGGTTTTCTAACACCTTTTCTCTAGCTTAACTGGCGAAGATATTCTAGGAATTTGCCCTTCAATTCCAAATTCTTTGATGTGCCGCCAGATGCCGTGCAAAAATATCACCCCTTGCGGCTCCTCGTGCCATTCCTAAGATTATTATCACATGACTGATGGTAATAGGACTTTGTGTCGTTAAGTTCAGAGTAATCAGGCTCGTAACTTCAAATCACTGACTAACTAAACTTAATTCGAGTGTAAGACTATCATTGTTATAATTGTTGGAATTTTAATTATTAGTAGTATTTATTTATTTTATCAAATTTATTTTTTATTATTTTGCGACGTATAAGAGAAGTTAAACCGTCCGGTGATTAATTTTTGGTTCTTATTCTTACAACATAATTAATATAAATAGCTTTAGAAATACTGTATGTACTTGTGTGGTCTTGCAAATAAAGATTGTTGTTGTATTACTTTCTACATCCAAATATGCAAAAAAACAATTGTAAAAATTAAAGCTTCCGGCGTTCACTCACCTCCTCTAAGAAAAACCGACAGTTCAGTAAACTCCTGAAAGGGTCTGAAGTAAAAGGCTTGTTTGTCTGCATTATTAACTATCTTTTGTAAGTTGTTCTCGAGAAAGCTGTTTCCGACGCCAATCACAAATACCTCAATATTAGCCTGTTGTAGATTCTTGGCAATAGAAGCAGGGCTCTGGCCTTGCCAAGGTCCAACTGTGACGAGAATAACGACAGTTCTCACTAGAGACAAGGGAACCCTTTTCATAGCGCTTAATTGTCCAAGGCAGACATCGAAGGCCAGTTTAAAGGCTTCATATGTATTTCTGTTGACATCATTGATGCTTTGAGGCATAGACTTGAACGTTTCAACCAGCGAGCACTTGTGCTTGTCCAAGAAGGGAGCGGAAACTCCGTCTATGTATCGGCTCGCTGTGTCGGCAAAAGGTATGACTTCTATTCGGGTAGCACCCATGCTAACAGTTATAGTGTTCAAAAAGTTAATGACGAATCCCTTTTCAGTTTGAAACTCATAGGACGACAAACTTCCGGAGGTGTCCAGCAGGAACAAAATGTCGCTCTTCTTGTTAGCACCGGCTAGCTCATCTCGTAGCCTTTTGAGTTCTCTTTTTGCGCGTTCTAGGTTACTTTGCGCAAATATAAAGAGACCCATTACCAAAATGAATACCACAACTGCAAAAACACCTTTCATCTTCAAAGTGAGGGCTCGAATTAGGACAGAGACAGTGACGGTGTGATTTGTTAAGAGTATAATGAACTCAGAATTGTTTTGCTGATGATTAGGAGACTTGATGGATTTTTGGAATGCAGCTGAATAAATGACAAGAAGAATGTTCAGGTATGGGATGATTAAAAGCCGTATGATTAAATTTTTTTCCAAGTAGTTATAAAAGCTTAAGGAGGGAAGCCGTTATCTGTTATTTTTGTTGCTCTAAACGATTGAATGTTCACCCTTTAAAATAGGCTCCATTAAACACAGTTTATCCTAGATGAAATGAAGAAAACTATTCCGAGTTAATCAGGTGTGCAAATATATAAGGCAAAAACTAGAAGAAACTCAATACAAAATCCATTAAATTCACAAGCAAATATCACTAATGATATTATAATACACTGAAGTCACGAATTTTACTCTAAAGGTACCAGGACGTGATCTCTGAAATTTGGCAAAAACGGAAATATTTGTTCACTTCTGCTCACTTTGACAGCTGATATATTAACCGTCAGTTCTGCAGCAGGTTGAGTACATGAACACGGCTTTCACATCACATCTTGTTAATTCAGCCGTATTTTCACAACTGTCTTTTGGACATGAGGTATATTGTCACATAAAAATTGAGCAATCAGTGAAAATTTTCTGGCAATTAGGGTTTTCTAATAAATAATATTATTCTTGATTCCTATTTTGGACACGTTTTGAAGTGTTTCTTGAATTTGACTGTTAGATAATAGTGATTATCATGCCTTTTTGTGGAAGTCGTTTAACATGTGTAATTTTGATTTTCCGGCCTACAGCCGTCAAAAATGAAGATACCTTTTTCAAGCTTTGGTTGCCGCAAATTAAAATCAGAGTTTGATCTTGTTTCTTCTATTTTCTCCTCTAATTTCATACCAGTTTTCAATGTTCCTGGGTAAGACAAGTAACAATTTATACGAGTGCCAAATACTGTCGAGTGACGCGCGTCGGGCCAAACGCCAGGAAAGATAAGCAAAAAACGTGATCCTTGCTTCGATACCTGGTCTTGAATTTTCTTTCGTCCAAAACTCATAAAGGTATTTCATCTAGAGACTATTTAGACAATTCAAAAGGAAACAAACTTTTCAAAAGATTGACTTTTCTGAGAGTTAATTATAATATTAATTTTGTTTGCCGAAAAGAACATTAGACCCTACGACGTTTTTCGTGAAATAGATCTATATGGTTTGGAGTTATCTCGCGCCGGTCGTTATCCACGTGGGTTACGCGAGCGACAACCGATTTGAGTAGCCCCTGCCAGACTCTCAGATAGTCGAAAGGTCGCGTAAACAAGCCAAGCGAAAATAAGACGAGTGTGATCCGGCTAGGCCCCGCGCGTTTAACGCCCAAAAAGCAAAACATTTTGAAGTCACAAACATGTCTCATGAAAACACGCCTCTCGGCCAATCGCGTATTATATTAGTTATTTTCTGATTCACACTCTCCGAAACGTTTATTTGTGGTGTAATAAACTTATGCAGCGGCCTATATCCCGGAGCGAGCAACTTCCGTGTCGTGTACCTGAGACAAGGCGATTTAACCAACCAGTTTATTTTTAGAACGATTTTGGCGCCAATTCAAAATATCTTTAAGTTTCCCAATCAAGTCCGCAAGACTTATGGACCCGAAGATGGTATCGATTTATCTTAATTTTAATGACTTTTATTTTTAATAATAAGGTAAATTGTCTCTGACTACGACGGTTGATTACACGAAAAAAAACTTTACTGGAAAAATGGGTAAATATCAAAATATCACCTTTCTAATCTTTTAAATTCACGATGTCAGAGTTTACTTTATGAGCTCAACCGACAACTCTCAGCGAAGAGAGATGGGAGCTTTTAGTAAATTCATCTAAAGGGGAGTCACAGAACCTCTTAATTAAGGTATATTCCCGTACCCAAATCCCAGGTGATAGGTGTATGCCCTTCTCATAATGCTTTACTGTGTTTTCGGTATCCCTTGCCGAGCTTTCTCTTAGGGCACACAGATCACTAGTAAGTTTCATTCTCACCATGTTCCGTACCTTCTTTCGGTGGTAAAGGGGTTATAAATAACTTCATCTTATGGGATGTCACAGAGCCCCCATTACAGCTAACATCTATAGAGGGACCTGTGTTTCCCCCCCTACCCCCAACGCAGCAAAGTAGTTTTTGCTTTTACTCTCTGCTTCCTTTTTTTTCTTAGGGATTTACCTTTCTATCCTTTCTATTAATATCCACGAGGCTTTTGACAGACACAGGAACACAATTTAGATGATTTTGAAAAAAAGTGACGATTTTGAACTCCATCCTCTCGATTTCTTTTTTAATTAATTAATAAAAAAACGCCTTAAATCTCAAGATTACATGCACCGAACACTTCAGTCTAAAAGGAATTTGTTCCGTTGCAAAGGGTTTGATTAAAAAATGCGCATGTTTTGATTTACATCATGTTCCTTCCTCTGTGCATTTTCCCTATGTTCCATAACGGTTTCAGCACACACGGTTTGGGTTCCCATCCGTATGGGGGTCCTCCCATGGCCCGCCAATCAAATCGCCTGCTCAGTGGACACAAGTTGCTGATTGGTTGAATCGAGGGAACCCAGTACGTTGAATAATTGTTCCGCGTGGCTATTTTCCAGTACACAAGCATTTCGTGCAAATATGATCCGTGAAGACTGATATATGTACCACAGACCTCTTCTAGAGACTTGAACTCAGGTATATGAGCGGTTACGTCGTGATATATCCTCGGATCGTGGAAATGAATAACATTTTTAACATCGTTCATCCAAATTGCGATAGTCTGATCACCAAATGGATGGCACAGTAAGCTGGCCTTTTTACTCATAAACTCTCGTACCAGATCCCCTGATAAGATGATGAAGCCCTCGTCAATTCGCACCAGTCCCTCAACCTCGCAGTGAACGTAACCCCAGTAGAGTCTGGAAATAAATCAGATTTAACTTTATCTTCTTACAGTGATGGCAGGTAGACGCTTCGCATTAAATAACACCAGCTTTTATTTAGAAAACAATATTTATTTTGGATCAAAAGCTCAAGAGATCATATCTCGCGCGGTTAAATAATAATTCTGACGGGTACCCGCCATTTACCATAATTTATCTTCATTCGCGTTGTCAAGGTTATTTAAGACTGTTCAAGATTCAAGATCGAGAATACTATGAATTTAATTTTTCACATCCTTTTAGATTTCATAATGAAATGCTTTTACTTGATAGTATATTCTTTTGATAGGTTTCAGCAAATTAAGAAACAATAAAATATGAAACTTGCAGACGCTTGGACGGTCATTATAAGTCTGACATATTCAGAAATTGAAAACTCTTAAATCTAAAGGTGATGTTACACGTTACGATTCGCAACGACGATTTTTAGCGCAACACAGCGTTTCAATGTTGGAACAATGTCGCAACAATGTTGCAACGCCGTGTTGTCCTAAAAATCGTTGGTGCCAATCGTCTCGCGTAACATCACCTTAAAGTAAAGTCGTCTTTTAGCGCTACCCGATAAATTTGTTTGAGCAATGTTGTCCGTTTTACCTTATTCCAATAGTCCTTGTATTCAGTAACCACCATTGTTACTGTCATAAGCTTCTCATATAGGCTTGTGAGGAATCACGAACTCCAGCCCGGATCGGGGAAGGGGAATAAAAACATACCCTGCATATAATTATTTTTGGTAGTTCCCAGGGACATTAAAAGTAATTATGAAGTGAAAACTTCATATTAACATAACTAACTAGTCACCGACTATAAGCAACTTCAATACTTCGGCTGAGATAGTAACTTGTCATCATGGAAGTTAATCTTCCATGTAAGTGAAATCATCTTTCCAAGAACCTAAGAACTTCATATATTTTTCTTCAACATTCACTCTTTTCATTGCCGGGGATATTACGTTTGCAATGAATATGTAAAGCCGATAACTTTGAGGCGTCACTTAACCTTACCTTTTTTGAGGGCGAAATGGAATTTCAAATAACAGTCTCTTCAAGCAGACAAAATAGTCGTCGTCCATTCGTAGAAAAAAGTCAAACTCATATCTCTCCACAGACCATTCCATTAACCATAGCAACCGAAGACCAAAGTTATATCCCTTGGGAATCGGCATAAATTCTATATCACCGTATCTTGCGTTTTCATTGGTGAGCGCAGTTTGAACGTTCGGCTCCATGTCCGACAAACTGTCGGTAAAGAAACGACACACGACTTCCCCCGAAGTGCACTCGCTCATCCAAGTTCGGCGTATCCCTTCGCGACGATCAAATCGAATTGGAGCGCTTAAAATTGCGATGATAAGTTTCAGGCGCTTTTTTGGTCGAATGTGATCGAGATTGTTGATCACCAGAGAAGTTTTATTTCCGTTATAACGCGTACTATTTTCCATTCCCTTGATTTTCAGATGATCAAATTTTTCCTTGTCTTCATCAGTAGGGTTGTTTTTCTTGACAAATAACTTCAGCTTTGACGTTGAAAAAATCGTGGGGTGCCGATATGAAGATCTTCTGCTCAGATTGGACGCTTTTATGTCACCGTTTACCTTCCTTGTTCGTTCGTATTCTGAAGCAAGCATCGGCGTTTTGTTGCACGATCTGATTAAATAAATAAGAACTGTAACAAGAAAGAACTGTGAACAGACAACAGCTAGGAAAAGCGCATTTTTCCAACGCATCGTCGATCAAAAATCCCCTCGTCAAATCATGGTGTCGCCTGTCGACTAATTCCATCAGATTTTAGTCAGCGCCGTTCAAAGTTCTTTTCGGCCCGTTTGTTCCGATACTGATCCCAAGCGTTTCGCGCATATTTTCAAGCGGGGAATGTATTCACAATATTCACTGTCGACTCGCACGGTCAAGCAGATCTTACCTACCTGTAAACAAACATTTACAGTTGTATAGAAAAGTGTTTGTGGGCGATCCAGTTGATTTCTTCCTCTATGAGTAAATTGTTTTCTGTAAGTGGATTCTGAATTTGAAAAATAATTTGCTGAGTTGGCCAGCTACATTTGACTGCATTGTCCTGAAATTTTGCTTTAATCATATAAATCAAATTTCAGTTAAAATGAGACGGTAACCAAAACTGGTTATAATATTGTTTATATGGTAATTTCCTCAAGCGTTGACGGCGCGGTTTTTCTTGTAGCCACAACCCGTTCAACGTGAAGGTGTCTTATTACCAAGAGGTTATTCAAAACACAAAACCTACCTTACTTTAACATTTACATGCAAGAATCACAAATTGCAAATCTAAGTAACTTTAACAAAATTCAAAGTGGGACTGTGTGAAATACTGAACGGATCGAATTAAAGGGGACATCTTTTGCTTGGAGCCTGGGCTTCATTTCCGAGTTGGCAACTCTCTCCTCCCTAGAGTTTTTGAAGAAAAATGCCAAGGAAATAAACCCCGCAATAGAGGTCTTTTAAAATGGGAGAAGATAACTTTCCTTTGGCCCGTTTCCGAAAGCCCCGGTAACTTTTCGGGCTCGAAATCAAATATTCAAATCACATCAAAATCTACAGAATAGAAGCGCAGGTCCTAGGTGACAAACCCGTTCATATTGTTTTGTTAACAGACAGTTTTATCTAGACTTGCATCAAGTCGGCCAATCTCGTACCCAGATTTCTTGTTGACGAAGCCGAGGACGACTTCGTCGGCAAGAGATCGCGATACGAGATTTCAAGTCGAAGCAAGCTTCATTGGCATAACCAACCAGAAAAAGTATATTAAAGGATTTTCAGAAACTCTAAGTTTTATTAATTTATCTTTAAAACTATTGAAACCTCTATCTTGAATGTAAAAAAACAACAGCTTTACAGGCCCGTTAATTATCGGGACTTTCGAGAAACGGGCCCTTAACACTAAGCTTTTTTATGAGCACAATGTTAGCAACGACGATGCCATAGTTGTGCTGATTTTATAGAATGAAATCACTTGTTCATTGATCAACGGATGTACGAAACTTGTAAGAGGGCTAGAGGTTAATTGGCGAGAAATTTTCATTTAAGTGCCTTGTAGAGCTTAAATGCAACAACCCTGGATTGATTTTTAAAAGTGAAGAAATCTTCAATTCATTCTCTAAAATTTCATGGTTTTAGTTTGTCCGATCCGCAACATTTTTGCCCAGAAATGCTGGAAATGATGACTTAAGGCCCCAAAATAAAGACCCCTCTGATACACATTTTTCACAAGGTCGTTGAAAGATAAAAATAAATAGTCAAAGAATTAGTTCACCCTCATTAGTTCACCCTCATAAAGGAGATAGAATCTTAATATGAAATTCTTAACTTTTATTTCTTTACTTTGCTAAGTCCCTAGACCTCATTGTTTCGCGCGGCGAGCCTATGCACATGCGTTACACATGCGTTTCGAGTTACGTCACCAAAACGTATTCGAATGCACCGTGCAGCAGGATATGAGGGATTCTATAGACTCGTTCATCAGTGCCCCATTATCTTCTCTTGATATGAAAGGTTGTTAAATATACACTCCTGTATGTATAAAAGAGTGACCAAAAACATTTAAAATGAGGTTTGTTTCGGCTTTGTAAGTATATTTTTGCTGATCAGATCTTCTCGTTCTCAGTGCTCATATATATTCTTTTGCGGTCCATTGCAGTTGATGTTCACTAATTGTTTTGTTTTTCTCAAATACTGATTATTGCTTGCCACAGACAACAAACAAGAAATCAAGGTTCTTGCGGGAAATAACATTTTTTGCGGGACCCTTCTGCTAAGTTCAAACGTATTCTTGGAGACAGATCAGAGATCATTTACTGCAGCTGCTCGAAAGATATGGAACGTCTTTAGTTACTGGACTATCACAAGAAAGAGAAGAATTTCGATAAGTTAATTAAGAAACTCCTTAAGACCTTCTATTTTATAGAAGCCTACAGTCGTTGATGTAAGTTATCAGAGGTTCTATTATTTTCTATCCTTTAAATTCCTTTTTTTATCTGTTTTATCTCTTGCTCTTTTTCAGCCATGCTAAGTTATTGGTGTAGAAAATCACTGTAAATAGTATCAGTACGTACGAAAGGTAGTATTAACTTTTTTTCTATATAAGTCTCATTGTTGTGTATGCACATTTGATCATACACCTATGTATGGAAATATATAGTAAAATATATATAATAAAATGAGGAGGAGGAGGGAAAATATTTAAATTGTGTTGGAGGGAATAAAAAATTGAGGGAAATATTAAAATTGTGGAGGGGGGAATTCAAGAACGAGGAAGAAATAAAAAATTGAGAAGGGAAACGTAGTAAAAAAAAGATAGCTTGCTTTCATAGACTATTTTTATAGATTGCTTTCAAATCGCTGTGTATTTGACTCCTTTTGTCATTGGTTTTTAATAAAGTGTTTTTCAAACGGTATCTCGTGCCTGATTTTATAGCTAGCAATTATTAGTCGCGTGTTTAATCAATTGATCCTTGTTGAGTTATTTGTGAATATACTTACTTCAGATGGAGGCTAAGCTTGTAAAAAATCACTTCTCAGACTTCTTTAATTCAGCGGTCCGATGTAGCGAGACTATTACAAGACTTTAATAGTTTTTCATTTCCTCGTGATAGAACGGAGGAAATGGTTTTGTAATAGTCACTTTGTGTATATGCATGTGTGTGCGTTTTGTTTATATAAAACCGATATTTAGCGCTAAATAAGAAGACATAAGCTAAATTGAAATAAAGACTTTTCAGATCAACTTTGTGTATGTGTTTTGTTTATACATATATATCCGATTTTTAGCGCTAAATAAGATATAGTAAGCCGTTTCTCGCGCTGCTAGGTGATCGCTTCTTTTATTCCTACTCTTCTTTTGTTAGACGGTCTGACAAACCGGGCTCAAGTTACTTAACGGGCAAGCCTAGGCAAGCCTACTGTGCCTATTGTATAAGGAAGACCCTCATTAGATATGGAGGAAGACAGTTCTGCGCATTAATCAAAGGGAGGGCTTAATTCGCAACTCAGCACACTACTGTGATTGATGCGAAATTTTTATTCGTCTCTTCGATGAACACTTTGCTCGCCATTTTGAAAGTCACAGACGCGAGACGTGACGTCATACTGGCAGGCGGACTGAACCACCGATTTCCTTGGAGACATCTTCCCCCGCCCCTACTCAGAGACAATTTGCCCCGAAATGCTAAATTTTGGAAAGTAGGTTTCTTGGACGTTGTTAAGCTCTTTCAGAATATTCTGACAAGTCCCATAATTTCAAAAATTTAATTTTTAGGACGTCATCACTTTAGAACTCTTTTTAACGTTGGTCCTTACTTCCTAAACTGAATATGCTACTAAACCATGGAACACAGAACTCGGAACTCGAATATACTTCGGAACACGTCAAATAAATGAAACAGACAAAAGAAACATTTAATATTTAAAGATAAGGATTAAGGCTGTTTCCTTAATAAGTGTAACATGTTAGGAGCATTTTATTCATATCTGACATATCCAGGTTTTCGGCCCTGGGACCCGTTACCCGTTTTTTCGAAAGTCCCGGTAACTTTTCGGGCCTGAAATCAAATATTCAAATCGAAATATAAAGAATAAGAGCGCGGGTCCTGGCCAGCAAACTACTCCATTTTGTTTCATTAACTGATGGTTTTATCATGTTGGATGCAAAACTATTGAAACCTCGATCTTTAATGTAAACGGCAACAGCTTACCTGGGACCTGTTTCTCGAAAGTCCCGGTAAGTGGTTTCGGTCCCGAAGGCAAATTTTAAAGTCAAAATCAGTTGTATACTAGCATGTTTCCCTAGCTCACAAACCAGTCAATTTTGTTTCGTTTACTTATAGCTCTGTTGTATCATTTTCAAATCTGTTAAGACGTTGTACTTAAACATGGCTAACCTTAAACAGCTTTCCGGGCCCGAAAAGATAAGGGATTTTTCAAGAAACTTACCCCTGGGCTGAAATAGGCTGCCGAAACGGTCCGTATTTTTGCGTACCGACTGTTTTGCAGTCTAGAGTATATTCCGAAGTGTTCCAGTGTTCCTAGTTTTAGCACATACTGCCTTTCGCGTTTCAAGGCCCATTGATTACCATTGTAAGAAAAATCTGTTGCACTGAGTGGAATCTCGATTTAACGAAGTGCCAAGCGACTGGGGAAATTTGTTCGTTATATCGAGGGTTTGTTATAGTCGAACACCTCACCTCCATTTAACGAATTTTCTGGAATTTTCGGGAAAACTAACAAAACTGTTCGTTATATCGAGGTATAATTTTAAAACTCGGCGTTTCCGGATCCGTAAAAATTACTATCTGTATCATGACATTTCATTACCGAGCTATACTTAGCTACGGCACTAGAAACTCAAGAACAGGCAAACAAAACTGATTAAAACACAACTGGACACATTAATTTTATCCTTGTTGGTCTGTTTGGCATTCATCTTTAATCAAGGCCTATTCATCATAGCAGGGGCACCCGACGTCAATTTTCGAAAAATACCTGTTCGGAAGACGATTCGAGGTCTACATGAATTTTCGGGACATTTGTTGTAAAATTTCTTGCGAGGTTTTTACGTTTACGCTTGTGGATTGAGTTCGTTAATAACGAGGATTTCTTGAAATCGAGGTTCTGTTCCATACATTTTACTGTAATTTTGGCCGGGCGGAAGAAAATCGTTCGTTGACGGAGGACTTCGTTGTATAGACGCTACCGAGATACCTCCAGTCAAAGCCTAGATCCGATCCGCGGGAAGACCCGCAGGTTTCCCGCGGGTAACCATAGTAGTGATACCGCTGTACAATAGGAAATTCGCGGTTTGTCAAACGAGTTGAGCGAAACGGAGCGAGTTTGGTTACTTTAATTCAGAGAGAATTCAAATACTACGGGGATTTATCGGAGAAATTACAAATCACTGGCATCAAATACAATATTATAAGCACTTTGGTTGATTTCTCTGCATCTCAAGGTAAGATTATACAGTGAATGAGATGACTCAAGGGTCACGTAAGGTCTCATGGTGTTCCTGGCTGCATATTACGTAGTTATACAATGGGTCGTTATTTTCGCCCTTTGCCGACAATTTTTTTAAGCTTATGGGGTTTTTATTTCTTTTTTGGCTGTTTTAAAGGAAAATTTACGATCTGGTTCGCTGAAGGACTGTCAAATAAAAATACAAAACAGTGAAATTCGATGGTCTCGTCAAATATCAATGCCTCATTGAGTTAATGACGATCGGCGCGCGGTTTAAAGGTTTTCAAAATCTTTGTTTGAGGCCTGTTCGAAGTAGGGTTTTAAACTCGTTTTGGGGTTGTAATACCAATAATTATGTTTATTAAATCATTTTGCCTTTCGATATCTTCGGACTGGATTTCTCAGACGTCTTAATTAAACTTATTGGTTCACGTATGCTTAATTCACGAACAATAGAGAAAGCTTTGAGTCTTGTCTACCGTTCAGTATCAAAGCTCAACGAACGCAATATTGCCCAGTGCAACAGTTGACATATCTTCCAACCTAAATTTTCGTGCCAAAATATGCCACGAAGTAACGAAATTATCTGTTAAACCGAAGTTCAAGTAAGCTTCAGCTTATATCATGCCAAAAATTAAATTGCTGAAATTAATCGTGTCAGACCCAACGAATGAAGTCATTTTATCTTCGGTTGGCACTGTGCTACCGTTCTGTTTGGTTCCACTGTATTATCATGTCTCTGGATACGACAGTATTATTGTAAGGTTTATTTCAGCGGTATTTTTATGGTTAGGCGCACTCTTTGTGGGTATGGCTTTCAGTGGTGCCTTGAGTACCAGATACTGATATTTTATTGTGTTTATGGCATGTGGACTCATGGTCATCATTGCTAGATTAAACCAGTTACATGGTACTCCACTGTGCATTTCATATTCCCTTTTGTTATAAATATGCAAAACTATACCCAAAGTAAGATTACTTCAAAGCTTTTTCAAAACACACTCACAAGAATGTGCATTGCTTATTTTAAAGCTAAGAATGATGTATGTGCTGTGGCAACAGATAATTTCAAATGCACTGTGGTCTCCTAAGTTGCATATAAAAAATTAATTTTTAATTGGGTGGCCAGTTGTTGAATTGGGTGGCTGCAAAATGAAATTTAAGGGTTAAAAGTGGCTAAATGAATTTTACAAGTAGGCAATGTTAAGCTTGAGAAAATGCTGGCCAGCAGTCTTTTACATGAGATAATGGGGGTGTACCAATGCTTTGCAGGGCCGGTTGGGTTTCCTCCATACCCTGCCTTCTTTGTGGTAACTATACTGGTAAGTCTTAACAAGGGCTTGCATTGCACGCAGCTGCAGTTATTGGCTCCTCTAACTTCACAATCTTTGTTGATGGTATTAAGTGCATGATGCAGACTTGCAAACTTTCACCCATCTGCCTAAGACTCACAATTTTTAACTTTTCTCATTGCCTCACAAGAAGACTCCCAATCTCACAATTTTTTGGGAAATAATAATATTTATATTCCAAAATGAAATGTTACCTTGTTTAAAAAAGGAAATTTCACGGGGAGTGCTGGTGCCTATTTAAGTACAACTCTTAAGCTATGAAGTTGGCTTATGCAGAAGAAATGACTTTTTGCTTTAAGTTTCGTGTCAGTGATGACCTATTCTTTGGCCTGTTAAAGTCATCAAAGAAAAAGCAGCATCTAATTTGTTACAGGAGGCACCCAACTAAAGCAGGGCAATGTCAAAATAACCAGTTAATTCCTCCAATTGAAAAAGGGTTTGTTTAATTTTGATTGGAAAAAATAGAATCTCGCTACTTTTTGTAGAATCTCCAGATTTTTTTTTTCATGAGTCCCCATATTTTCCCCTATCGTTAAAAAAATTAATAAGTCGTTTAATTCTGGAGTTTGATTTAATTGCATTGAGTGACTAGTACTGAGTAAACCTTTGGTTTTGTAAAGTAAATTTATACTTTTTTGTTGTTGTGCTTCAGAAAATTCTAAGCCACGGATGATTCAAGAAGACTTTCATCAAACTTCTTCACAACAGCACCAATCAGCTGTCAGATCTTACAGGTTGGAGAGAGGTTAAAAGAAGTGTGAAATTACGGTATGTGTTATTGTAAAACAGTAGTCATTTTTCAAGTTTCCGTAAGCATCAAATATTTAATGAACAGTCATAACGTAGAATTTTTTTCCATGTCAATATTAGTGTTTTGTTTGACTGGTCCAAATGCGCATAGGGGACACTTTTATGTACAGGTGTATCCCTAATAAGCCTAGTGAAGAATTCAAACATCTTCTTTCTTTGGCAAAAATGAATTTCAAGTAATAGATAAATAGTGATAAAATGGCAAAGGTACTGTCAAAATCATCTGCATAGTGTACTCTAGAAAGCAACATTTTAGCTTTTGTGACATTTCAGTCTTCTTAGTTGCTGAAAGGTTGATGGAGTCCTACAGAGTCCAAATGGCATTACCCAAACATAATGTACTGTATTAATTTAAATATTATCTTTTAACATCCAGAGACACTAAAGTTCTAGCAAAAGCATCAAGTTGCTTGTTTTGTACGGTGTTAAGTACTCTGTTTTCCGGGTTTTAGCCATAAGTGTTTTCAGCCATCCTATGAATGCCCATTTTGGAAGAAATACAAGAAAATTCACTTAATCTCTTATAATTTTATGGAAAAACATGCCTTTTGGACAGCCAGCTGTCATTGTCTCGCTAAAAGCCTGTCTGTTTCCTAAACCTACAATGTATGATTGAAAAAACTTTTTTACTTTTGTGTAAACCATGAGCTACATGTATGAGACCAAAAGGATTTATTGTTAGAAAGTTATTAGCATTGCACATGTTAATTTTGTTCTATAAAAGCTTGTAATATCATGAGCTTCTGGTGCTGATGCGTGCCAATAGGGCTTAAAAGGCTTCCATACACCAATGTATTTCTTGGCAATAAGCCAACAACTTTACCTTTTGGGAAAATGTTTCTTCAAAGATCTCTCTAGTTAATTTAAAATGATAAGGTGAGAGCTTAAGTTTTACTGGAAAGAGTAACAGACATAACAGCATGCCTAAAGCAAAGTACTCCTGGGATTTACATCCACATGGGACATTCATGATGATGAAGGCTTTTCTACAAAGAATTTTGAATTTGTGATGCTAGTAGACAGGGTTGTCAGAAAGTTTTGAAGTAGAGGGCTGAGTTGTCAAAGTAAGTGGCCAGCCAGGGATATTTTATTTGAAAAACACCCTCCACAAAGAAATGCCAAGCAGAGTAGCTTGCCGATACTAACCAAGTAGGTAGTGATTTTCACCAGCAGCCAGCTACTTTTGACAACCCTGTAGTAGCCTTCTAGCGATAAATCTTTTAGGTCCCAATGTTCATGGTTTATTCTTTTCCAAGTTTTTTCAGTCAGGCATATACACGTATTATGCAATGGTGCGATTTCACACCAATGATCTGAGATCAAATGCAGGAAGGAATGCTGAAGGAATCTCTTGATTGATAAAATCATAAGTAATTTGGAGAAAATAACTTCTGAAATGTTGAATATTGTGAATGAAATGATCTTTAGTGTTCTGAGCCCAGTTTGTGCTACATACACAATAAACGTAAATTATTTCCTGCTTAATAGTACTTCTCAAAATGTAAATAATTATTTTTCTAACATATTCATACTTTATTGTAAGGCCTTACATCACTGCCAGTGCGCGTGACTCAGACACAATAATTTACTCATATCCACTGAATTGAAGATCCTTTGTATGAATAATTTACCGGTACTTAATTTAGTTCTGGTCACTATGCTTTTGTTTTCAGAGAGGGATTTTAGGGAGCTCCATGATTGATCCAAGGAATTTGCCACACGCTCGTGTCTGTCTGTTACGTCTGTCAACAAGGGACCTTCCACCCAATGCATTACAGCAGTATCACAAATATGCCGCCAAAAGGAAAAGAAGTGACCCTGCTCTAATTGAAGCCAAAGAATTAAACAGGAGCACTATCTCCGTCAAACAACCCACTGCTAGCTATTCTATCGGGGCAAATAATAATCTGGACACTGGTGTAAACAGATCAAATGTAGTCCAAGATATATTTTTGACAAGAACATCCTCTCTAACACCTCACACATCTCATGTGCTAGAGGACAGTCAGCATGTAACATGTGGCTTAACTAATAATGCTACTGCTAAAAAAGCTGGAGAACAGCATCCCGCAGCTTACTCCTCTTATATGACAGATGTGTCTGGTTGGTCCACTGACAGTCACCTTGATAAGTGTAAAGATAAAAATATAGCTGGTGTGCTAGTACAACCTCTGGATGTAGAGCATGTACTGAAAATTAAAGGAAATGTGCTGCCTTGCAGAAGAAATTCTGTAAGATCCACGTCTTCTAGTGGCTCATCAAAGGGAAGGGAACTTAGTGCTTCTGTGCGTCTTAGTCCAGTGACATGGAGTGGCCCAACAGTTACCAACAGAAAGTATATGAACTACAATCCTAAAGCATTGGGAGAATCCAATGATAAAACAGTACCTGTTGTTACAGATCACAATTATGCACTGCGGATGACTGGCAGCATTTTAGTAAGTAACCTTATCTCTTCCATTTGTTCTGTAGTCTGTGGTTCATGTCCTCAAGTGCCTTGAAGGACAAGATTTTTGGCAGCATAGTTGTCTCCTAATTCCCTTCTGCCATGTTAAGCTCTGGTACGTCCATATAAATTGTCCCCTCCATTTGCAAACATTTGCAACCTACATTGTGTTTTTGTTTAAGTCCTTCATTTATCCATCGCAGGTGTCTATAAAGACTCTTCAGACAAAATCTGTTATAGACTTCTGCCCCATCTTGACAAGAGAACCCAGCTTAAACAGTTACTATATGAAAAAGAGGGTGTAGACCTTCTAAAAGACCTTTACATTTTCCTGAATGTTTATGCTATTTTAAAGGACTTTTCATTCCTGTTAAGCACAAAATTCACGAAAAATTCGAAAATTCCTGGTCAAAAATTCCACCAGTGATGTAATGACAATTGAATGAAACGAGAGTGAGTCATATTTGATGTCACTCGCGACACAGCATAATTATAATAGACAGCATAATTTTTTTCTGTGTAAATTTATAATATGATTCAAATCCATTCAGGCAAAACAAGTTGATCTCGTGACTTTGTTGTTCGCTCAGCTGGTGTGCAACCATAATTATTGAAGCTCGCTTCCCTCGCCTTAAGAATGTATGAGAGGTCAACTTGTAGTAAGTCTAAGAGGGTACTGGACGAGGATCATTGATACGCGATCACCCAGATCATGATGCATTATAGGAACTGATGATTCCACTCTGGACAAGGTTTCATTGGCTCCTTTGATGTACCTTAACTGTACCTGAGTGATCTAGGATCACTGATCCAGATCCAGGTCACCCAAAAGGAGGTGAAAAGAGAGAAAGAGACCTTACACTACCAGCAGGGTGCTCATTAAGTGCCGGCAAAAAAACCAGCTACTTGGAGGTTTGAGCCGTCTACTTTTTGGGGAAATGGGGTAAAGTGAGAGTGAAAGCCTTAAATTGCCTACAAATCTCAATTGGCAAGGGCAAACTTTTACATCCTAGCTGTCTACTTAAAACCTTAAGTAATGATCCGGGTAAGGTGGATAGCAGTTTCTTTTGTTATGCGGCAACGGTGCTTTCCCCACATAGGAATGTTCTCATTTTTACACAGAGAATGCATAAACCTACATGAAGGCCGTTTACGCAATAAAATGCATTTACACTCCACTTTGAAAGGGTGTTTTTTGTGTTAAAAGATTTTGACCAATCACAAGAGTTGAAAACAATAGCCAAGAAAAGTTTACAATTTTACATGTTCCCCACATAGGATTTCTTTGTTATTCAAACTGAGACCAGATTTTGTTATATGGAAGATGGTTGGAAAGTAAGGATGAATATATGTACCGCTTTATGAAGTTTTGTTAACTTTTGCTGTTTAAGCCAATCAGAAGTAAGTACAGACAATAGAAAAGTTAGCGCCTTTTTTGCATTCCAACATGTTCATTGCGGTTGTTGCTATCGTTCTGATCTGGACCGTTTCTTAATGAGAACCTTGCTACCAACACCTCAAGCTTTCCATTTTGTTTCCCAGGAATCACAAGGCTTGTTGTATGAACAAATGCCCTCTGCAAGGTTAACTTCAGGCCTGGAAGAGAGATCAAGTGTAATATCAGATGAAAGCACACTGTCAGCAAGTTTTAGTTCATTGAAAGATCATTCATTGTATGGTCATGAGGAAGTGTGGCCAGATTTTGATAGTTACTCACCCCCAGAAAGCCCTGAACCACAAAACAGCAAAAGTGGGAATGAGATTTTTTTGACAGATCCAGATGTAGGTCTTCCCATGGAAGCAAAAATTAGCATGCCATTAAAGCCTTGTAATGGACTTCTTTCTCCAAAGATAAGCCTTGCTCCTTTGCTCATTAAGGATAAGAGAGGTGTCAAAAGGAAATGCTCCATGTCCAGTGACACTCCCTCAAAGAGGAAGTCTTTATCCCCCAAGGGAGATCTTGTTGTCAAACTTAATGATGTTGGAGACAAATTAGAGCGGTCTCCAACTGGTGGACTCACTGTAGCTACTTCTACAAGGACTGGACGGTATACCTCTTTTGGACGAAGAATTTTAGCAGTTAACTACTCAGAGAAATCTCTTGCAAAGACTGTTATGAAAAGAACACTTCCGACTGAAGTCAAAAAACGCAAGGCGAAGAAAACAAGAAAGTGTCTACTTCACAAAGACCAGAAATGCACTTGCCGTGTTGAAAACCAGAGGGGCAAGCCAAAGAAAAGGACAAACAAGCCCAGAAAGAGAGACACAACACTCTTGCGTTATGAAAGTCTACCATTCAAAGAACTCAACACTATTTCGAGAATCTCCACAAGGTACAAGGTAGCTTTTTCCAAATGGCCATATGTGTTTTCTGATGCTTTGGATCTCATCAATCAGAGAATATCTAATCAAAATTCCTTTTGGAATTCCATAAGATCGTAGTCAGTTGTACTGGACACATTTAGTGAGGAACCTCTTGCTTATTCTTTCAGACAAGACATGTTTCCTGATGTCATAGTATATAAATTTATCATTGAAGTTATATATTAGTATTGTTATCATGACATCAAGAAACATTGTTTGTCTCAATGAAAAGCAGAGATACATGTAGATGTCAACAGTAATCTATGCTGGTCATTAGGCTTGTTGTGTTTTTCCAGAACCTATGCTTACTCCTCCCCCTCAGTTTTTTATGACCCTGCAAGAGTTGAATATGGATATTTTCTGGAAGCACACTTCATAATCTATTATTCCTTTAGTACTCCTGGGCCAGGTTGTTCAAAGCAGAGTTAAATTAACCCAGGTTTAGCGCGAAATTTGATTTCAGATATGAAAGCTTAAAAAGCAAATTCTGTTTATTCTTTTTGCCGACAATTTGATGATTGGATGCTCTAAGAAGAAGAGAGAAAATTATTTGGGAAAACGCTTTTAAACAAAAGAAATAAAAATAATTTACACTATTATTTATTAAATTTTTTTGAAGTGCTGACTTGTCTGTACAGGGCTAATTTGTACATTGCAGATGATGAAAGGCTAGGCATTCATGTCTAAAAATTTGCCTGACATCAACAATAAAAAATCCAATATTTTCTGGAAGCACACTTCGTAATCTATTATTCCTTTAGTACTCCTGGGCCAGGTTGTTCAAAGCAGAGTTAAATTAACCCAGGTTTAGCGCGAAATTTGATTTCAGATATGAAAACTTAAAAAGCAAATTCTGTTTTATTCTTTTTGCCGACAATTTGATGATTGGATGCTCTAAGAAGAAGAGAGAAAATTATTTGGGAAAACGCTTTTAAACAAAAGAAAAAGAAACCCGGGTTAAAATTTAACCCCGGGTTAGCACTAATCGGCCTTCGAACAACTGGACCCTGATGATAACATGATAAATTTGCATGGAAGTAAGGCCCTTAGTGGCTCATGATCTTATGGGTTATTCTGCTTTCTTGTTTTGTTTCTTGGTTTTTTCTCCGGGCTTAGATTTAAATTTTGATGGGGGCCTAACTTCTCAGTTAGGGAAACCCAGGCCTGTTCTCTGTCCATAGGCACAATACCTCTCCTTTTTGACTTTCTTTAATATGAAATTAGAGATGTTTTTTACTGTTGTGGCTGTCCTCGGATCTTAAGGCTCCTACTTGTATTTTCACATGCCTGACACTAACAAAGTGTCCGCCTCACAGAAATGTCCATCTGACAAAAGAGAGTCAATGAAAATGACCAAAACCACCTTGCATGGTAAAAATCCAATTGGCACCTTCCCAGGCTCAACCCAAACTAATGTTGAATTTCATTCATTACCATCATCTCTCTGATCATGGACACCTCTTTAAGACAGACAGCTCAGTAAATAGACACCTAGAGTTGGTGCCTGCATTTTTTGACTCTCTATAAGACAGACATCACTCTTACATGGGCACTTAGTGCTAGTCCCAAAGGTGTCCATTTTAGAGAGAGTTGAATCAATATACATTATACACTTTACCCAGGCCCCAAAGGGAAGGGGAGGATCACTACAAACTCCTGAATTACATGTACTGCACAAGTATTTGGTGGCACGAGATTTGAATGGATGACGTGATTTCATCATATGATTCAAGAAATATGCATTTAGTTGTGTAGTAATCCCAAGGATTTGTGGCCTCCATTGCAGGTATTCATCTTATAGAGGTGTTTTTTGCATTTTATTTACTAGAGTTGACTGTACTTTTTCAGTGGCTTTTGACATTTCTTAGTTTCCACTGTGGTTAAGACGAAAGGCTAGTGAAAAGGCCACTTGCAAGATGGCGTCCTTTGAATGCTACAACCAGAATCTTTCAAGGTTTTGCTTTCTTGTGCAAATTAGGGCTTTTATTATTTTAACCTGACTGGGACTGCCAAATTTTGAGCATGAAAGAAAAACCAAAGGCATCATTTTACTGCTACCAGAATCCTTCAGGGTTTTGCTTTCTTGTGCAAATTAGGGCTTTTGTCAGTAAAAATATAAAATATGAAAGAAAAAACGAAATGATTTCTGGTCTTAGTTGTGCAGATGGCCTAGTTAAGTAAAGAATTGTAAACGAAATGATTTCTGGTCTTAGTTGTGCAGATGGCCTAGTTAAGTAAAGAATTGTAATACAGCTGTAGTACATGTTTGGCTCAAGCCGCTAAAAGTTACCTCACTGGAAGTAATATATGCTGGAAATTATTTATATAAACACAATTTATAAAAATAATTTACACTATTATTTATTAAATTTTTTTGAAGTGCTGACTTGTCAGTACAGGGCTAATTTGTACATTGCAGATGATGAAAGGCTAGGCATTCATGTCTAAAAATTTGCCTGACATCAACAATAAAAAATCCAGTGTTAAGAAATTCACATTTTAATGGCTTTAAATGAAGTCTTTTTTACAGTATTGTAATGTCAATATTTAAAAAACCTATTAATGACAAAGCAATAGAAGCTAAAAGTAGTTGACAACCCATTTATGAATTTTATGACAATGTGGAGGCAATGTACTGCTTTCATTTGGTTCCATCCTCTCCATGTTTGTTTCCATGGCAACCATGTTACAGTAGCCTTTAGGTGTAATCCATACAGTGAGTGGGATTGTAGTGGCTTATGGGTAATAGTAGTGAGAAGTGGAGAGGGCTGAATCACACGTTAGCCTCAAGGCTTGTTAACCTGTTGACTACTAGCTTTGTACAGCTGTATAACGACATAAACCGAGGGAGTTTTAAATTGCTTGTATTAAGATTTTTACTGCGATTGCAAGTTATTTGTATATAAGCAGGCTTGTTCAACTGAACTACTCCTAGATTGAGATGGAAAAGAATGCCTTTGCTTTCTCTAAGTTTGTTTGTTCAAAGGCTCCACAATGTTGTGTCTTAGACTACCGGCAATGTCTTTGAACACAGAAAGGTTATTTAATTCGTTTTAAGAGCTATTCACACTATTTTTTAAATATTTTCAGGAATCTCGCCTACCAGGCCTCAGTTGTTCAACGGCTGGATAGCATTATGCGGTAGATTAATATTTTTCCCCGTGGATAGTGGAAATGCAGGTGTCCCTTTTACACTGAATAGTGATTAATCCAGTGTATAGTGCTTTCCACCTGGATAATAATAATAATAATAATTATTATTATTATTATTATTAACCCAGTGTATAGTGCTTTCCACCTGAATAATAATAATAATTATCATTATTATTATTAATCCAGTGTATAGTGCTTTCCACCTTTTGAACAACTGGGGACAGAATGAAATGAAAGTAATGTAGTTCTTGTGGATCATTATACGTTTCTGGGAAACTGCCCACCTACTCCTCCCCAAAGCCAACATTTTGCGCTAAGTGAGAAGTACGTGTTAATGTTGGCTTAGGGGAGGGGTAGGTGGGAACTTTCCCAGAAACATGATAAGGCCGCTTACGTACATTCTCTTTCAAATGTTAAATGAATGATATTGATATGTTGTGACAATAAAAATTAATAAAGATATTTTAAAGATGCTACCATTCTCATGTCAGTGACCAAACAGCTTTTGACCCTCCACAAATGGTCTCAAATCTTGACCCCTTCTATGAATAATGTTGTTTACACCCGTTTATATTTCGGTTTTTTCTCGCATAGACATTAGTAAAGCATTGTTTCCTGGATTCCAGTGACCTATTTAACTAATTTTGTTTAATTCGTTACATCAATGGTTACTCCAGGATTGTTACAGACCAATTAAGGGTCCTGAATGGCTCCATTTCAGGAAAGTCCTGATAATTAATGGGCCCGAAATGCTGTTGTTGTTTTTATTCAAGATCCAGGTTTCAAACGTCGTGCAGATATATAACAAAATTCTCAGTAAACAAAACAGGTGAAATGGACTGGTTTGATAGCTAGGACCCGCGCTTTTATTCCGTAGATTTTGATTATTTGATTTTTGTCCCAGAAACTTCAAGGGACTTTTAAGAATTAACGGGTTACTCGGCTAAGTTCTTCAAAGGCTTGGCCGGATTGTTGAAAGCTGGGTTAAGATAACCCTAGGTTAGTGCGAAATTTGAATTCATATGAAAGCTGAGGAAGCAAATTCAGTTTATTTCCTTTCGTCTACAATTTGATGATTGGATCGCGACTGAAAGAATGGAAAAAATTATCCGAGGAAACGCTTTCGAACGAAACCCGGATTAACATTTAACCCCGGGTTAGTGCTAATCGGCCATCGAACAACTGGGCCTTAGTGCTTAGTTACCATGAAAACTCATATGCTCTGTTTACCCTGGATTAGAGCAGACCGCACTTCAAAGATCTCAGCCCAGACCTTTTGGGTAAGCTTCTGTTTTCACCCCATCGGAACGAAGGATTTTGATCCTCGTCGTGCTGCACGTCCCTAATAGACCATTGGCGAAAATGGCAGAAATGGCAATTAAAAAATCGATTCTCAGCCCAGACCGTTTTGGGAAAATGGCAGAAATGGCAATATTAATCGCCAAAATCGCCAAACTATATAATAAAAAAGAATTCAAATGAGATGGCAAAGGGGCCCTTTGGAAAGAACGAAAATGGCGTATTTGGCGAAAATGGCAGAAACGGTGCTTAATTTGATGGCAAGGGGCCCTTTGGAAAGTGGCGATTTTGGCGAAAATGGCGTATTTGGCGAAAATGGCAGAAATGGCAAAGTTAATCGCCAAAATCGCCAAACTATAAACAAAAAAAACGGCGTTCAAATGAGATGGCAATCGCCAAAATCGCCAAACTGGGGGGGCCCTTTGGAAAGTGGCGATTTTGGCGAAAATGGCGTATTTGGCGAAAATGGCAGAAATGGCGCTTAATCGCCAAAATCGCCAAACTGTAAACAAAAATTGAAATGAGATGGCAAAGGGCCCTTTGGAAAGTGGCGATTTTGGCGAAAATGGCGTATTTGGCGAAAATGGCAGAAATGGCAATTAATCGCCAAAATAAACTATAAACAAAAATTCAAATGAGATGGCTTTAAAGTTTTCGGCGAAAATGGCGTATTTGGCGAAAATGGCAAAATGGCAATTAATCGCCAAAATCGCCAAACTGCAAAAATTCAAATGAGATGGCAAAGGGCCCTTTGGAAAGTTTTTGGCGAAAATGGCGTATTTGGCGAAAATCGGAAATTTAACATAACATAATCTTTATTTAACGTGGAGAAACACTTAGCAAAGCTATTTTGCAGGTTTTCCACAAATCAATATTAAGAAAGAAAGAAAGAAAATATGTACATAGAAGTGTAAAAATATAAAATATCTGGCATCTAAAATTACAAAATTAGATAACCAAAATTGAATGTTCCTCACTTGTTTGTTAAATTCTAGTCCTCCAGCTCTTAATCGTAATTTGTTTGGAATACTGTTCCATTGTTTTGCGGCGAAATATCTGAAGGAGTTTAATCCATACTTTGTAGTATTTACTTTTGGCAGTGATAGCGTATCATTGCCCCTTAAATCGTACTTGTTGTCTCTCATTTTAACGAGTTCCTTAATGCAAGTGGGGGCGGTGCCTTGAAAACAGGCGTTTATAGTTATTAACATGTCCTGGACACGACGGTTTTCCAGCGTGGTTCCTTAATCTATTCGCTGTAGCAGTTCATAATAAGCTGATGTTTTATCTTTGTAAACATATCTTAGTGCACGCTCATTTACTTTTTCTATTTTCTTTGTGTTTCTCGAACCACAATGATGCCATACCTGACTGCAATAATAAAAATGAGGCAGAACAAACGTTCGATACAGTAATTCCTTGACCTTGCACGGAAGAATGTTTTGTAACCTGTTCAGCGCATTTACCTGCCCCCCTACTTTGCGACACACGGACGCAACATGTGCATCAAATTTGAGCTTGCTATCCAACGTTACACCTAGTAAGTTAATCTCATTTGACATGGGTATTGTTTCGTTAGCACATTGAAAGTTAATATCACAACCTTTTCTGCCCAAAACTATTGCCTGATATTTTTTAGGGTTGGGCATCATGCCGTTTTCTTTGAACCATAGCCTTGCACTTTCTAAGTCCCGATTAATTCCACCTTCTACAATTCGAGGTTCGCTATGTGATAGATAAATCTTGGTATCGTCAGCATAATTTAACATTTTGGAATTTTCAATCGTATACACTAAATCGTTCATAAAGATGTTGAACAACAATGGTAATTAATCGCCAAAATCGCCAAACTATAAACAAGAATTCAAATGAGATGGCAAAGGGGCCCTTTGGAAAGTGGCGATTTCGGCGAAAATGGCGTATTTGGCGAAAATGGCAGAAATGGCAATTAATCGCCAAAATCGCCAAACTGTAAACAAAAATTCAAATGAGGTGCAAAGGGGCCCTTTGGAAAGTGGCGATTTTGGCGAAAATGGCGTATTTGGCGAAAATGGTAGAAATGGTAATTAATCACCAAAATCACCAAACTATAAACAAAAATTCAAATGAGATGGCAAATGAGATGGCAAAAAATGGGGGCCCTTTCAACAAAAATTCAAATGCAAAGTGGCAATATTAGCGAAATTGGCGTATTTGACGAAAAATGGCAAATCGAAATGGCGCTTTTAATCGCCAAAATCGCCAAACTGTCAACAAAAAATTCAAATGAGATGGGAAATGGGCCCATTTGAAAGTGGCGATTTCGGCGAAAATGCCAGAAATGGCGATTAATCGCCAAACACGCCAAACTGTAAACAAAAATTCAAACACGATGGAATAGCAAAACATTATATGGGCCCTTTGGAAAGATGGCGATATTGGTGAAAATGGCGTATTTGGGGTTCAAAATGAACGTGCGGTTTGCCCCAAATGGCGATTAATCGCCCCAGGGTGGGAAATCGCCAAATGGAACAACTGGGCCCTAGTGTGTTTTATTAAATAATCTTATTTTTTGATACTTTCTATGTCTTAGTTACCATGGACGTTTCGCACTCTTGAGCCGTGATTTTGAACAAATTTTTTGGGCAGATCGTCTCTGTAAGAATTAAGACACTTGGCAATATAAATACGGTAGCGTCAAGGCTTATTAAAGAGGAAAAGGCTCACTTCCGAAAACTCATATGCTCTGTTTACCCTGGATTAGAGCAGACCGCACTTCAAAGATCTCAGCCCAGACCTTTTGGGTAAGCTTCAAAGTTGTATCATTCACAAAAAGTATACTTCCATCGGAACGAAGGATTTGATCCTCGTCGTCCTGCACGTCCCTAATAGTGTAACTGCCTTGAGCCTTATGAGCTCCTGAACTGCAAAGGGAGCTCTATATCTGCAAAACTCCCCCCGGTGGTTTTGCAACTTTCGTCTCAGGCATTATATCTTGGATCGCATGTTATAACCCACCCCCCGTCACCAGTTACTTTCCTGACGGCACGTGGGAGATCAAATGTGAGCCGGAACCGAAAACCACTCATTGCCAGTGGTTAATCAGAAACCAGTAGCAGCCATTCATTACTATGAAACACTACAAAACTATGCCATATTACCCTGTTACCCATAAACTGAAAAAGACAGTATCGCTGACCAAGAGTCGTTGGGCGGGGGGCGTGAGTCACACAATAAAGTTTTGTACGGAGATGCTCCACGTCGATTTTTTATCACACTTAGACGCATTTTGATTTATACTGACTGTGTGACTTTACCTCCTTTTCTCTTGATATTAACCTCGTGAATGTTTGAATGTATCAGACCTCTCTTCGATCAAGAGTCTTTACGTATCCTTTAAAAAAACCTACATGGCAGATTTCCTAATTGTTTTCCGTGCTCAGTTCAACTTGTGACATCAAACTTTTATCCTTTTACGTAACTCCATTCTGGAAAAGGTATCCCTTTTTGATCTGTCGGATCACCCCTTACTTTAAAGTCATACATTGTAGGACTACAGAAGAAAAGAACTTACAACCTTTTTCAAATTCAAAAAAGACATCTTTATAACCAATCTTATACCACAATTTCGTAGATGGGTTTGATATATTCGATGTTAGCACACTGAAGCACATATACTGAAGCATATATGCTTCTGATAATACACAAGGGTGACTGGCAACTTATAATAGCCATAGGGCTAGAAATTGCTAGGTTTATAATTCAAGCAAAATGCACACACACGCACAAACAGTAAAGATAGAGTAAATATCGCAGATAATAACCAAATGGCCAATCATAGACTGTAATAAACTCATCTAACCCTCTGCAGCTGGTCATTCGAGTGGCACAAACCCAACCCACCATACTGGAGAGCACAGGGAGAAAGAAACAAAGGAAATTACCATTTCAAATGATGTCAGCCGTTTATTTTGCTTGTCCAAGTGTATCCAGTGCGTTCCCTCTCCAGTATGGTGGTTTTAAACCACGTGAATGACCAGCTGCAAAGGGCCTATTAGCCTGCAATTGAGGAATTTATTTCAGGGGAAGGGCTGAGGTGAGTTTGTTATTTCTTTACCATGAGTAGGTCGTCTCTACCATCCTTGATTTGACAGCAGAGGAAGATTGGCAAGAGTAGCAAATGCAATCAACTGGTGCGGTGATTTCCAGTGTTCAGAAAACGCTTGCTCGGAGGAAGAATAGTCCACTGAGTTTAACTGTACAAAAGTTATGACAACACTTAGTAATAAGATCTACAAATACAAGTTTCAACTATTCCCTGATTTGTGCAATAGACGGCAGTCCTTCTCAAGCCGATTCTTCCATTTTGATCAACTTGTTCACACCGTCAATCACAAATTGCACCAGCTGTATCTCTGAGTAACCAAGCCGGTATTTGTTGGAGATGTCATAGATGGCGCCAGAAGAGTCCGAATGCTCTCCATACAGACCACGGACCTGCAAGTGGTTTTCTTTTGCCCATTCTTTGAGACCATCCTCTCCCATCTTGGCCACAAGTTTCTGCAGCTGGATCAGCACTCCTCCCCGCAGACCTGTTCCGAGGTTAGTGGGACAGCAGGTGATCATACCGAGATGGTCGGTCTTCTGAAAAGTACGGCCATCTAACTCTTGAAGGAGCTTCTCGATTGTGTTCACCGCTTTCACCAGCGTTGCAAACACCGACCTAGCATCGCCACCTTGCTGAATGGAAATCACACGGACGTGGTCACCTTCGTTGAGCCATACAGCGAAGGTTTTGCTATCGTTAAGGTAGATCCCTCGTCCATGTGGCCACCAACGATGATACCCACTGTCAGCTTGCATCTTGTCGTTGCCCTTGAATAACAAATGCTCTCTCACCAGTTGCTGACGTTCATCTTCAGTGATCTTCACCAATGAATAGTAGTGACCTGCCAAATCTCCCTCCAATTTGTCAAAAACTTTCAGCATTAAGGCTTCTATCGCCAGCTTTTCATCTTTGGTATTCTGCCCGGGAGCAAGGTTGAAGCCAGAAATGTTCCTGGCCACCCTAATTCGTGTAGAGATGATCTTGGTTGGGTCGCTGATGTTGCCTTTGAGATTTTCCACATTCATATCAGTGATATGCTTATCTCCCGGCTTGAAACCACGGTGATACTCTTCAATGACAGGATCAAAAAATTCCGCAAAGACTGCATAGGACTCGGTGTCTCCGGCGTGGCAACCCATCAGGGACTTTTCTTTGTTTCGGACTCCAGTATTAACTGCTCGGGCAATGGTGAATCCTTTGGGCGTCTTCTTTTCCTTCAGCCTCTCAAAGACTTCCCTTGTCAGATATTTGGACATAATGGACTTGGCTCCAGTTAAATCAGGATATCTGTTTTGTTTGAGCTCTGGGTCAAGCTGAACATCATTCTGTTCTGACAAGTTTATGTCATCTCCTAACTTCATAGAGTTGTCTTGGACTATTTTAGGCTGACCAGTCTCCTGAAAGCAATACATATTACTTATGATCTATTGCAACCCTAAAAGTAACCATCCTTCTCACAGATCATTCAACTTACGCAAAATTACTCCTCTTTCAAGCACGCAGGCAGTAGGAAAGTCGCGAGAACTAGGTCGAGAGAAAAAACGACGCGCGTGATCTGAGATAGCCTGCTTCGCAACGCCGAGATCCTTGTTCTGAGCCCCCAACGGACTCAAAGAATTACGAAGTGCGTTTTGAATTTCCTTTAAACCTGATGGGCAAATCCACAATGGCTTTTTTAACGGCCCAACCATATCCTGCGAGTAAGCTCTCCTGGGCGCTCCAGAGAGCTTGCTCGCAGGCTCACGGGCCAACCATGGCACTTACTCAAATCCTGGTACACAGGTACTAGCTGGGGGCCAAGGACAAGGATGTCGCCGCTGTTTTGCAGACAGACTTAATGTATCGGTCAAATCGAAGCTTCAACATGCCCCCCCCGGGCAACCCCCTGGGCATTTGACTTTTTTGAAAATTATTGTTCAAATTTCCCCCTGCCCGGGCCAAAATGCCGTTCAAATGCCCCACACAAGGGTCCATTCAGGTAATCAAATGTCCCCACCCCGGGGACATTTCACAGGCACATAATGACAGAAGGACGGCAGAAACGCCTTCAGTTGTCGAACAAAATCTTTATAAATACAGCAAATAATTCGCATTCAATATAACAAAAACTGAGAAACAATGTTAGCGTATCTACTACAAACAAACTTCTCGTGCAAAGCGGCGGAAATCGCTGCTACAAGGTCACTGAATGCTCAGCTTTTCTTCGTGTGTCATGCAACATAGAAAACGTTCTATAAAAAAAATCCCACCTACTACATCATGACCATTTCACTGACATGAGTCATCACTCACCTTATACATGCGGCAGGTCAGAGTAATATTGACCTCTGTTGAGCTTTTTATTGTTGCATTGAATCGCTGGTAATAAGTCATAGTAAACACAACTTTTATACATTCATATATTCAAAACCAAGCTTGTTTAAGCCCTTTCCTCGTAACCAATTGGCCACAAAGGCACAATCGTTCCCACGAAAATCCTCCAACACCGCGTCCCCCATGATAGCTCGCCACGCCAGAGATTTCACATGAAATCGTGGGTGCCGTTCAAATTCCCCACCCCTAACGCATGGAGATCAAGTTCCCCACCCCCTGGAAGACTCTGATAATCAAATTCCCTCCTCCCCGGGGCGGCAAAGGTGTCAAATGCCCGGGGTTTGCCGGGGGGGGGGCATGTTGAAGCTTCGATTTGACCGATACATAACCTTCAGAGGTTTAGTTTCTTCTGTGGCGAAGTTAGCCTCTTCGCTAACTCCAGGCCACGCGAGTTTTTTGCATAAGTTTTAACATCTGGAGCAGGCCAACGCAAAATTTATAGCATTGGTAATAAGGCTGTCAAATTCATCGTAATTGAAGCTTTTTCGTGTTTTTCATGTGCAAAAGCAAACCCAGACGTGACTGACCCTTGCGGTCATGCGCAGAAGAGCTCTGCCGGGTCGCGATTGAAATTTGCCTTGTAAAAAATTTGACCAAAATTTAGCGACAGGCCGAGAGCACTCGAAACCTGACTTGGCGATAATTTCTAAAGTAAAAAGAATAGAAGTTTGAATAAACCTGTCGTTCAAGACCCCAAATACACTGACAGTGCCATTATAAAGTCGATTAGATATGGTGACCGCTAGTTTTCCTTGATTATCATACACGTTTGTAAAACAGACAATTGTCTTCTGACATATGTCGAAAGATGACTCAAAGCACGATTTACTGCTGCACAGCCAAAATAAATAAGAAAATAGATACTTAACAACACCAGTAATCACCAAAAAATCAAGGTATAAAGTCAATGTCTGCTAGGTGTACCGATGGCAAGCTGTCGCACTGACTGATTTCACCGGCACGCATAACAGTATTTAAAACTAGCCGGCCGCACCAGGATCGGTAAAGTCTGCTCTTAAGTTCGGTACAACTTTCTTGTCTAATAAACCTGAACTACTGAAACAGAATCCTGTATTGGGCGGACGCCCATGAAACCCTGGCCTAGTGTCCACTTAAACTTACTGTCTGCTTAACAAAAAGTGAAGAAGATGCCGAGGGTCATGTCCGCCGATAGCGTTTCCGTTTATAGTTATGGGTTCCAATAGAGTTGCCACAAGTCGACCTAACAAGTTTCACCGAAATAAAGCTGATGAAAAGCGAGCCTGTTATGCAGCAAAGCGGCCGAGCGAGCGACAAAGTCAAGAGAGGTCGACTTCTTCGTCGGCGAGCAATATAAAAAGGCGAAAGACTTCTTCTAAAGGTCTAATGATATAAGTGGTCCGCTTCTTACAGTCTAACGTATATTATGAATATACAGAAATGACTAACTTCATTAGAAGTCATCTTGGCAGGTTCTTGAGTTCGAGGAGATTCTTCAACTTGAATTCTATTTCTCTTTCGTTGAAAGATTTCCGTGCAGCTGCCGCAGCAACCTATAGAGTTTCGATTTGTATCCATATACAACTCTTTGTTATATGCATTAGTCATGTGTTGCTGTGTTGTCACGCAAACATGTCTGTTTCTAGATTGTTGACTTAATTTTGACGAGGCAAATTTAGTTTGTTCGGGGTGTTTTACTGTGAAGTCCAAGTGGATAGTATCGAGAGATGATTTCCTTAAAGAAGCTACAGTTCAAGCAAAGTTCTAAACAACAAGTTTCTTTAATATTGTTAACTGACGTGAACTATGTTGATTAAATCAGAGTCAAACAAGCCCCCAATAGTAACGAAAAGGCTCACAACTGTTAAAGAGGCAGTACTTATACATCAGAAATAAATTTACAAGAGGTCTCCTCTGATCATGTGTAGAGGTACTTAGAATAAAGAGCAAGTTAGCTTGGCACTTTACTGCCAATCGTCCTTGAATTCTACAAACAGACTCAAATAGACGGTGTCAGAAATCAAGCTTCAGGTCATTTACCAACTTCTCGTTTACTCACTGATTACAAACACTATAATTTGAATGGCTTGCATATTATTACCAGTCGCTGATTTTCCGTTTAGAGTGTAGAGGCGTGGTATGTTGCTTGAATTTTTCCCGGATGGCTATATGCTTTCAATTTCAAATATAAGTCCCCCGATCAAATATACTTTACCATTTGAATTTTCTTTTTTTTTTTTTCTTTTCACCTCTTGTTTGTTTCAATCTTCTAGTTGGAATATAACCTCTTTGGTGATGTACAGTACCGCAAATGATCCCCAACCGCAAATGATCCCGAGACCTCAAATGACCCCCAAAATGGACCGCAAATGATCCTCGACCGCAAGTGATCCCTAAAGTCGACCGCAAATGATCCCGTGAAAACTTGAGGAATGGAATGGATTTTATGGGACCGATTACAAAAAAGGACTGATTATAAAAAAGAAACCTTTTTCTCTTGCCTTTTAAAGAAAAAGGGAAGGAGGACGCTACATCTCAGGTCAATTTATACAAGGCGAAAAAAAAAAAATGGAATAAATCTGAAAAGGTATGGTATTAACCGTATACTTCTTCCTTTGTCGATTGCCTCAATTTTCTTTCAAGAATGTTTCGTCTTTTGAAAAATTTAAGACAGGCAGGACGTTACGCAGAAAAATTATTTTAACGCCTAGAAGCTCAACCTTTCTATTGAGGAATACAAAGCCGGGCACCCTCTACCTAACAAGAGCTTTATTGACTTTACTGATCTTTTTGAAAGCGTGAAATTAATCAGCCAGAATATTTCATTTTGATTTTTCTCTGAAGTGTTAATTTTATGCGATAAACAGCAAGACGTTTGTTCGTAACTTAGGTGCCCGTTACGAAACAAGACATGATTTAACATAAACACAAGTCAAAATGCCCCCGAACTTATCAATGTCCACAGGTTTCGGTTCATTTCGAAATAGCAACTTTCTTACATCTCATGAACGTGTTGTGAATAGTTATATTAGCGTTTTTATGTATATTCATTTGTTGTGCTTTGCTGAAGACAGTTACCACTTCATTTCAAAAGAGGTCAAAGGAAATGCTCTTGCATCGAAGGGCAAATCATGCCGACCAGAAACAACTATAACCGCAGAAAATGCGTGTCATGACCTCTCACTATGAAATAAGCAACAAAAATCATATTTGCTCAGTCAAAACGTTTTCCTCAGAGGTATAATCTACCCGCCAGAGCCGGAAAAAAGTCATTGGAACAAGCAGCATTTTAGCATGAGGTAAAAGTCGTGTGTTGCCTACCTACTTCGTGTTTACTCTTGAATGATTTTTTTCATTTAGTTTTTATTCATATATTTATTTGAGAAGTAAAATTTAGCTTTTAATCTGACTTATTGTAATAATAATAAAATCGACACGATGATCCGCTAACTTGAGTCCAAGTCATTCCTATTTTTCTTTCGGGATCATTTGCGGTCGACTTTGGGGATCACTTGCGGTCGAGGATCATTTGCGGTCCATTTTGGGGATCATTTGCGGTCTCGGGATCATTTGCGGTTGGGGATCATTTGCGGTACTGTACAGTGCTCATCATAAACAGTTTGGCCATTTTGTGGTTGCCCTTTGAGGGCGAGGTTGCTTTGAGGGTTGCCCCTGGTACTGGCCCAGAGTCGTGTTGCATCACACTATGGGATTTTTTTTACCTAGTTTCCTGGGCAACCACGTCGTCACTTTAAAAACGAGTGGGAAACTAGGCCGAGTTAAGTCTCGCAAAGACTTTTGGGTCTTTTACTGGGGACCAGGAAAACAAATTGGCCGATAGCTGAATGGCGCTAGTAACGATCCCAGAAGTCTTTGTAAAAGCTAACTCGCCCCGGTTTCCATCTCCTTTTGTAAGTGGCGACATGCTGCCTTAGTTATCACCAAAATAGTCTGTAGTTTACGAAATGACAATTTACTTTCTCGTTGCGTCTACTCGGATATTCTAAACAGAAAATTCCCCCAAAAAAGCTGTTTCGCCCAGAAAAATTTAACTTATGCTCAGGCGCTCAAGTTAAGCCCTGTCGGTCGGGGTAACGAACGGGATGGGTGACCCACCGCGAATATCGTCTGAAAGGTCCATACGTTGTTCTTTCTTTTCTTCTTCTTCTTTTTTGCGTATTATGTGGTGTTATTGTTAACAGTGTATTGAAAAGCAGATTTAGCATTATTTCTTCGTCCGGATTTAGAAAAAGAAAAAAACAAAGAACAAATATGGCCCGGTGCAGTTCGCCCGAAAATTAGGGACTGTGCAATAATTATCAGGAGGGGGGCGCCCTAAAACCAGAAGGGGGGCCTTAAGTTAAAATAATGGAAAGGAGGGGGTGCTCTACATTAGATTTCTCAAGTAAGTTGAGGGGGGGTCTTAATTAAATTTCACAAATTCGATAATGAATAAATAAACATTTTCCAAATAGACAGATGCCACTCCTTTGACTATCCATAATGTCTAAATATTGCATCAACATAAACACATGCTTTAACTTATTTAGAATGTCAACATATGATAGATTGAAACAATCGTCCATGCACAGAAGTCACCATCCACGTTGCGAGCTTTGCCAATATAACATTCGGCATTTAAGAGGTCCCGCAGACATGCCAGGTCTGTTCTTGATTCAAACAGCGAGGGGGTTTCTAGGTCTACAGTTTCTAGCTGAGGAATGCCACATGCTTCTGTTTCATAGTTGTCATCACTTCATAGAGCACCAAAAATTCCTTGCAATGAAAGCAAAAAAACGGGCAACGGAAAGGAACAAACTTCCAGACATTAAGAGGCAGTCTCCCTAAAAGCGTTCCACTCGATTTTGGACTCGAAAAAACTTTTGCCTTATATTTTTATCATCAACACTACTATCCATCCTAATAACGAAACTGCAGTTAGAATGAGGAAATTGTTTATTTTACTGCCATTGCCAGCATTTCATTGCTGGACGACCGTTAGCGGCTAAAACATGCAAATTTTAGATGCCCTTTTACAGGTTTTTTAACGATCGTTTAAAAGTACTTCGGTTCATCAAATCCTAGACTGTTCGCACTCATTTGGAAGCATATTACTTCTTCTTACTGTTCCAATACCATTTAGGCATTATCTTTCTGTAATCAGCAAAAACTGGTCGTCTTTATTTCACTAACCCAATTAAGAAAGCAAGATGCACGAATAAATGCCTCAAAAACATCTCAAAATTCTCAAAAGTGGCACCCAAACTAGACCCAAAAACATGTTTTAGTTAAAGATTAATAACTATTTTGTCAAGTTATGCAATAAAACTTGTGGCACAATGCGATTCAGAATTGAAGGATTCGACTTAAATTTGCATATTGATGCCGAATTCGCAATGCGTGACACCTGCCGCTGTGATAGTAAAAAAATTCTTCGTGATACTACAAATGACAATTTTTCTGTTTTTTTTTTTTTTTTTTTACTTTATCAACAAGAAAAATTGGAAATAGGTTAAGCTTATAGAAGATTAAGTTTACTTTTCCACTGACCTTCGTATTAATAGTCTCGGCCGGCCGTCCTTTGTTCGACTCCCAGCTTCGAACGACTAGGGGGTTTATATTTGACTATTTTAGGGAAATTTGTTCCAGATCTTTGTTTACTCGCATGCAATCTCGCTCCTTTTTTGTTCTTGTATTTTTTTCATAAGATTTGTGAAGTATTAATTTTTAGTCTTTATATTCTTTGTCATAGCATCTCGGTATGCAATAAGATCCTCTCTGAGTGGCTCAACAACATTGTCCGCGGTAGGCTGGTGTATCAAATGAGCGCCGCACTGGAGTCGCAAAAACGAAATGATAAACGCGGTGGCGCCTAATTTAGTAAAATCGATATCAATATGAATTTGGATCCACACGGAGGGTCCAAGGCCGATTTTTAAAAATGTGATCCTAGATCCCTCAGCTGTTGTTCAGATGTATGTATTTTTACATCATTAACGTGGTAGAATGCAAGCGTCTGTAAGAACAGGGTAATAACCGCTAACAAGACGTGAGATGAGAAAACACGTAAAAACAGTGTAGGGGTCTCGACCTGGAGAAATGTTCATGCTGGGGAAACCTTCGACAATGCGGGATTCAGACTTCACGTCAGTTCTCACTTCTACTGATTGTTCGAATTCAGAGGTTTTTGTCCACGCTGGGCTTCAATTGAAAATTCTGTCGGGGAATTCTCCATGGTACCAAACAATTGTCATGAGTACTCTCAGTAATATGCCTAAAGGTAGGTAATCACCATTTTGGCAATTTAACTCCGACTCCAAATTAGGTTTAGATATGCGCTTATCACTTTCCTTTCACGCGTGTATCTTGTGATATTCAAATCTGTCAGCTCATAAATGATATCAAATGTGCAACTGCATCAGCTGACTGTGTAACTTTATACCATACTGCAACAGTGATTAATATCAGGATGTTTGACTTAAAGCCACTTCCTACTTTTCTCCATAACTTCATTATGTTTGGATCTTCACTTCCCGCATAATTCTAAATAAAAAAAATTGAGTGGACTACTGAGTTTA